GGGGGGGGGGGGCGGAGAGATGGAGACCCATGGCACTTGGAGAGATCCCCCTTTCCTTAGTTCTAACAGATGGGCGGGGGGGAAGAAACCTAACAGCACAGATTGCGATCTTTATTAGTGGAAGGGAGCAAGAGTCCAGTAGCACTTTAATGACTAACAAAATTAGCAGCAGGGTAGGACCTTTCGTGAGTCACTGCTCACTTCTTCAGATACAACGAGGAATTTCACATTACCCTTTTTAACCTGTTTTGAAGACGTTTTTGATCCGTCATGGAGTAAACCGGTATACGGCTGCCATTTCACACATGGCTTTCCCCATCCGGTAAAGAGCTGGATCTGAAGCGGTTTGCCATTTCAGACTGCACTGCTTTTTCCCCGTTTTTCGCCCGCATGGGCGATCTCCGGCTTTTTTTTTTTTGAACGTTCGCTTTATAGCGCTATAGCACTATAACAAAACACTCCAGGCATTCCAATGGCGTTGATATACTGCTGTTCCGTTATAGCGCTATAGCGCTATAAAGCAAACTTTCAAAAAAAAAGCCAAAGATCGCCTGCGCGGGCGAAAAACGGCGGGAAAGGAGAGGAAACTGAAGACTACTTGGAAGCGGTTGACAGGTAAAACGCTTCAGCCCCGTTTCCTAAACAGGACAGAAGCGTTTGTGTCTGAAATTACAAATATATTCCGGTAGGGAACCGGTTTTAAAACGGTTCTGTCTGAAATGACAGACCAGAAACTGTTTGGGAACTGTTCCTCTTCCGGATTATATCATCTGTCTGAAATTCCTCAACTAGAACGTGAATCCATCTGTACTTATATCTTGGAGAGTGAAGTGATTTCAGACGCCAAATGACAATAGCAGGGATTGGTAATGAGAGAAGAAACATAGGTCTCAGTTCAGTCTAGGAGAATGCATTGTCTTGAGCTTCGTTATCAGTTACAATTCAGTAGTCTCTCTTTCGAATCTCCCTTTGAAATTCCTTTGTAGGAGAACTGCTAAGGTCAGCAACTGAATGTCCTGGAAGGTTAAAATGTTTCCCCACTAGTTTCTGAATGTTGTGATTTCTAATAGCAGTAGAAAGAATAAAAGTCTAGTAGCAACTTAAAGACTAACAAAATGTGTGGTAGGGCATGTGCTCTTGTGAGTCACTGCTCATTTCTTCAGACTTATTTCCATTTATTCTTTGCATCTTCCTGGACTGAATCCTACTGTATCAAATTAAGACCTAGGTTTCCTGTCTCATTACCAATGCTGATATCTCTATGTCTACTACCCCTCTGCATATCACACCTAATCCAATACACTTGCTATTGCCATTCAGCATCTGAAATCATCTTTCTAAAGTTTATATCTCTAGTACTTCGTGTTACATTTTATGGTACACATGGCCTGGGCCAACAAAGTGGCATTTATGTCAGATCTGGCCCTTGTAACAAATGAGTTCGACACCTCCGGGTTAGACATGCTGACTTTGGAGAGAGCTGGACATTGCTTGCTGAGGAACTCTGAAATGGTAACATCTTGCCAGGGCCGGCTCACTCACTAGGCGAGCTAGACTCTCGGCTAGAGCGTGGCCATCATGGGGGCACCAGACTGAGCCCCCCTCCCCCCCAAAGCCCGCCCCCGCCAAAAGCTCATGCCGCACACTGGAGAGGCACCGCCGCCCCTCGGTTGGATGTTGGCTGCCGGGCTGGTGTCTGGGCGAGCGTGGGGGGCACCCTTGCCTCTCGTCTCTCTCTCCAGCGGTGGCAACGCACTCGAGGAAGTTTGCCGTCGGCTCAGGATGTGCGCCTAGAGCCGCCACCTCCCCTCCCCACCGTCTGGATTATCTTCCCTGGGCCAGGCCCCACAGCCAGCCCCACCGCCTCGGCCGCCCGAGCACTAGGCAAGCCTCTTGACAACGACCCTCCCGGCAGGCAATGGCAGCAGGCAGCAGTGGCTCCCTTCGACATCTATTTGCCGCCGGGGTGTGTGTGTGTGTGTTCCCCGTAGGGCAGGCGCAGGAGAGGGAGGGGGTGGCACACAGGAGCTGAGGGGACAGAGAGCAGCTGGGGGGTTTTCCCTCCTCCGCCTACCCCTTTGAGGGGCTGGGGGGGAGCCTCGGAGGGGGAGAGAAGAGCGCCCCTCCCCCACCCGCAGAGCCGATGCGGAGAAAAAGTGACAGCCGTGTCCTCAGAGTTCGTTTGTTTTTTAAAAAAACATAACACCCCCCCCCCCAAGTGCAGCATCGAATCAAAGCGGCTCTGGGTAGAAGTCGGATCTAGTTGAAAGGGGTTGCCAGCAATGTTCCCTTAAAGCTGCCTGTAGAGTCTTGTGAGCAAAAATTCTACTTTGTGAGCTAGTTGGCATTAAAGTTGCGGCCTCTCTCTCTCCCTCCTGCCCCCAACACACACACACACACTCCCCGCCTGCCCCTTCTCTTTCCTCCCCCCCCCCCCCGGGCCGGCAACGGCGTTGGCACCCCCGAGGTCTTCGCTCTTCTCCCAGCCCAACCATCCAAGTTTGCCGGGTAAGTTGGGGGGGGGAGCCCGGGCACCAGTACTGCCATCCCCACCCCGCCCGCAGGTTCCCTCTTGACCAGGGGCCCTTCTTTGCCACCATCGCCGCCAGGCACGGGAGCCCCGGCCAGCCAGAGGAAGGGTGCTTGCGGCCTCAAGGCACCTGGAAGCGGCCTGGCCTCGTCCCCGCACCACTCTCGGTGCGCTCCTCTGCCCAGCTCACCTGCAACTGTCCCGGCAGACAACGGCGGGCCAAGCTTCCTCCGGCCCCGGGCAGAGCTGAGGCAACTTTGGAGCCTCCAAAGAGGGAGAGAAGTTGGACTAAGTTCTCTCCAGGCCCCGCCTAGAGGTTGGCAACGTGTGGGGGTGCCAGAAGGTAGCCCCCACCTAGGGCACAGCAAAACCTCGGGCCGGCCCTATATCTTGCAATCCATATTCTTGTTCTGAACCAATGCTTTACTTTGTCTCTTATAATTAGTTCTATTGTTTTGATTCCTCACTGCTTGTTCTTTTTGAAATATTCTTGTACACTTTTAATAAATCTATTTTAAATTATATTTGTGGTCTTTTGTGTTCAGGTGGCTTCAATCCTAATCCCAGTTCCTAGGCTAAGTGCTCACTACCAGGTTATTTGTTTAGTGGAAACTCATTTCTGCAAGCGTCCAGCCTTGCAGGGCTGACTTTCTTGTTAAGTTCCTGGAGGATTAAAGGCTTCTGACTACTGGGATAGCAAAAAGGACCAGTGGCAGTTTACCAGACTGGTGTGTGAAGTCACATTGCCAGGGTTTTGTAATTTTGTGTTCTGCAGCCCCATAACACAAACACCCTTCTTTTCAAGGTATCAAAACCACCTCTGCTCCCTTGCTTTGGAAGCCCCTTGCTAGGGTCACCATAAGTCAGTTGTGACTTGACAGCACTTATATTATGTATGCAATAAAAAGTTATGACATGAATTATTGTTTTTGTTTTGGATTTTGCATGGACCAATGCGGCTGGCTATGACCTTTTTAAACAAATCACACCCATTCCAGATAAAAGCAACCAAGAATTTGGACCCTCTTGTTCAGATGGACTGTTTTAGAGGCATCTGAATGGGAGACTGAAGACTCAGTTGAAAGGGCCACTCTGAGGATAGGGAGCAACAAGGAAAAACGTGGGCGCAGGCAGAGATAGTGGGGAGAAACCTCTGGTTTTACCAGAAGATTGGTGGCTGTGGAACAAAGACCTTGAGGAGGAGCATATTGAGAAAGGACAGAAGGCAAAGAGAGAAAGAAGCAAGGCCGTAAAGATGTCTGAATGGAAGAACAGCCGGCTTAAGTGAAGATGCACCGAGAGGGAAGCCAGTGAGGGGAAACTGACACAGAGGAGTCATTCGACAAGCAGAAAACAGCAAACAAGCAGCAGGGATTTCAGACAGGCTAGAAGGGCACAGTAATAGGAAGGCCATGCCAATAATCAATACAGAAAGTAAGAAGGGAAGGAACTGAAATGTTGGAAGGGTTACGTGCAAGAAAAAGAGGGAACTCTAGGTACGGTGACCACATGACAATGAAAAGAACCTGGACAGTAGGAGAGAAACAATGTATGATGGTTTTCCAGAACTTGAGGACAACAGCAAACAGAACTATCATCAAGGATAGGATAAAGCGATGCTGAAAAATAGCGGTACTAACCAGCCATGGGGGGAGTTCAGTTTGGGAACGCAGACTTCCACCCAATGAGAAAGCAGTAGAAATTAGACAAGAAAAGATGAGGCAAAGAACAGCTCCCTCTCTCTGCCCTCAGTTCCCCTGACATCTGAAATACAGGGGTGGTGATTTTTTTTAAAAACGTAACCTTTCAAGGCTGCTTGCCAGGATTGGACATGAAGCACACTGAGCATATGAAAAGGGCTACTGTTGTCAGTGAGGACAGGTTGGGGGAAATTTCCCCTCAAGCCCGAGAGTCAACCATCCTGCTGCAAAGCAAATCATGGACCAGACCCCAAAAATCATTTGGGAAGAATTCTCACTCCTTTATGCAAGTTCTGTTTTCCTGAAGGTGAAAGCCACAGTTTGCTGGGTGACTTTGGGCCAGTTACCCAGCCTCAGCCTAAATTACTCTGTGAGGATAAAGTGGAGGAGAATATTGCAAGCCCACTTAGGGGGTACCCATTTGGGAGAAAAGTGGGGGTATCAATGAAGCAGATAAATAAGCAGACTGGCTCATGACAGAATGAAACATTTTTAAAAAAAATGTAGGAACATCTGGGCAGAAAGAAAGCAAGCTTGTGAGAAACATGGACTCAACAGGGGGGACTTCAATAGGAGCCCTGACCCCCGGACGGCCCAGGCTAGCCCAATCTCAATCAGATCTCAGAAGCTAAGCAGAGTCAGCCGTGGTTAGTGCTTGGAAGGGTGACTACCAAGGAAGTCCAGGATTGCTACACAGAGGAGGCAACGGCAAACCACCTCTGGCCGCCTTTTGCCTTGGAAACCCTACAGAGCTACTGTAAGTTGGCTGCAGCTTGATGGCGCTTTCCACCACTGCATTAGCAGGGAGGGAACATGACTCTTCTCCCACTTGAAGACTACAGGATTTCCCTTCAGACAGAGCTGCCAGAACCTGTGTGTGCTACCCTAGCTGAATTGGGACCCCCCTCTCCCCACCCTGCCCACTCCCCTTACCTTGTGCTGGAGGGCTCTGCAGCAGCATCTCCGGCCCTGCGGGAGGGCTTTTCCTGCCAGCCTCCACAGGAGAGGCCTGATTCTCAGTCCCTGCCCTCTTAGTCCTGTCCCCAGCTGCCAACAGGGAGGAGCTCAGCTCCTCCACTCCCGGTGGCTTTGGGCTCTGGGGTGATGGCAGGTGCCCTGGTGCTAGTGAAGGCTTCTTGGCTATGGGAGGGGGGATCTTCTGGGGCTTCTTCTGGGCCTCGGGCTTTCCTGAGCCTTGTTGGCTGAGCCCCAGGGTTCCTGCGGGCCGCTGGCCAGAGACATTCATCAGTTCAGCAACCAGATTCTTCTTTAGGTTGGCTTGGGCCTCTGGAGACGATGAGGTCTCGATCACCAACTTTTTGGAGCTCTTTGCAAAGATGAAACTGGCTGTTGAGGCTGGGGATTTGTGTAGGGGCGAGAGCTGGCCATCTTTTGTGTCGCCAGGGGCAGCCGTTGCTGCTGTGGAGGGCGTTGGCAGGGTCAACCGGTTTCTGGCTTTCCTCTCTGCCGTTCCGAGGCTGGGAGCATCCCTCGAAGACAAGGTGGAGGCCTTCAAGCGCACGGCGTTGTGCAGTGGGCTTGAAGGTGATGCTTCTTTGGAAGCTGATGAGGGACCCTTCAAGGACAGCGACTTGCGGATAGGCTTCTGGGGGGCAGCCTGCACCGGCCTGCTGCTGGCACCCAAGCTGGTCCCATTCTGTTCGACAGGCAGCTTTGCTGCAGTCGAGCTTGCCATGGGACTGTGGGCATCCATGTTGATCGAGCGCAGGCGCACCATCTGCAGTAGAGAAGGGGTGACGATAGGCAGGCTGGCATCCTCCTTTGGCATGGGGTTGCTCTTATTGCGAGAAGCGGGCTCCTTCTTGAGATCCAGGCGGGAGCCGCCCGCCGTCTTCTTAAGGCTTGGTTGAGTCTGCAGGCCAGAGGGCTGGGGCGCTGCTGATGCTGAGGCAGCAGCCTTTCGGTGGCTGAACTGAGACCCAGACGCTTCCCCAACAGTGGGGAGCTTTGGAGGCGGAAGGGGCTCCAGTGTGGGAGCTGGCAGTGACGCGGCATCTAGGACTCCCTGCTGCTGGATCTTGGAACAGACCATAGTGGAAAAGGAGGGTGAAGGCATAGGCTCTTTGCCCTTCTCGGCAGACACTGCTCTTTGGTTGGCTAGTGGCTCCACAGCGGGAGGAGCCTCTGGGGCTTCAGCAGAAGGTGCTTCTGCAGGGACCGGCTGTGCTTCTGGCAGAGGCAGTGAGGAGAAGTAGGCCTCGTCCGGGGGAGGGAAGTCTGCCATAGAGAGATCGTGCTCATCTGGCGCAGGTGGGGGCGGTGGGGGCCACAGCACATCCTGAGGAGCATCAGGCTGAGTTTCCGAGGCGCTCGGCACTTCGGGGCTCACATCGACCTTCTTCGCTGGGGGCGGTGGTGGGTGGTAAGCAGGAGGAGGAGATGGAGGAGGTGATCCATTGGTGGGTTTGGAAAGAATAGGAGGCTCCACGATGGCCTTCCCAGCGGAGGGCAAAGTGTGGGGTGGGCTATTGGCAGTGTTCAGCTCAGCCTGTTGAGGCTTGGAGGGCGGTGGGGAGAAGGGAGCTGGGACCTTGGGGTGAGGGGGAATAACAAACCTGTCCACCTTAGTCAGAGCGGGAGCCATGCCCGAGGGGGGCGTCTCAGCAGGGGGTGGATCCGATGCAGAGGAGGATAAGGACGTAAGTGAGGAGGAGACAGAGAGTCCAGGGGACTGCAGGGAACAGACCCTCTCCGGTTTCTTTGGTTGTGGCCTCTTGCTTCTGGGAGATGAGGCATGGGAGAGGAGACCCCTGGTGTGGAGGGTGGGGGTGCCGCTCTGACTGGAATATCCGCTGGAGGGTGACATGGTGCGGCCAAAGTGGTCCGGGGAGCCTTGCTTGGTGGGGAGCTCCTGCTGCTGACCCCCGGTGGGCAGGGGGAGGCCACCGTGGGAGAGGTCAGCAGAGTAGGCCAGGCTGTCAGAACGGAGGCTGCTGGTCTCACTCTGGGAGGATGGGGAGAAGACATCATCCTCCCCAGCCAAGCCGGGACTCCCTAGCCGTGCCGCAGCCCACCCCTCGCTGCTTTCCCGCTGAGGCCTGCGTTCCGGCTTGGGCGGCAGGCCCATTCCCTTGGGTACCCCACTGGCCTCCAGCTGCTGGGCCTTCTGAGACAGGGAGTAGGTCCTCCGTGGTGGCATGGGAGGCTTCTTCATCTTTCTGAGGGAGACGCTGCGAGAGGTGGAGCGGTCACTGCGCAGGCTGATGGTGTCCGAGCCGTCGGCCACGCTGCCGGTGCTGCAGGCGGGTGAGGCCCGGCCACTGCTCCCCGGAGGCCGCAGGAGGCCGGGTGAGGCAGGGGCTGCCTTGATGTAGTTGGAGCGGGCCCTGCTCACCGAGCTGCAAGTGCTGAGCTGGTCGAGGTCAGGCCTGGCTGCCGTTCGGACCTGCCTGTCCGGCCCCACCTCACTTGTCTTCTGGCTGTTGGTGCCCCCGTGGGAAGAGATGGTGGATGTGTTGGAGACGATCGTCTCGGTGGACTGCGAGTGGCTCCAGTTGTCACTGGAGGAGGAGTGCTCACGGCTGCGGGGGGCAGAGGGGAAGCGCCCCAGCGAGCGCACCGAGGCTGGGCTGGCTGTCGCCAAGCTGCAGCGGCTAAGCGTGCGCACCTTGTTGCGGGAAAGGGCAATGACGTCCACCATGGGTGGCAAGATAGCATTGGGGATAATCTTGGACAGATAGGTGCCTTGAGGGGAGATGGACATGACGGGGCGCAGTAGTTCTGGGGAGCCAGGCTGCGTGGTCACCCAGGGAACGGCCAGCGACTTGGGCCTGACCAAGGGGGACAGCTTGGCCGCTGTCTTACGCCCCAGCAATGAGTCATCATAGTAGACACGTTCGATGTGGCGTTGGAGGGCACCGTCTGCCGCCTCCAGCTCCAAGGCTGGGAGGGAGACACGGGCGCCACCCTCTGGGACAGCAGTGGGCTCTAACTTTCCATCAACTGTGGGAATGTGGATGGTGTTGCCAGACACCTCAGTTCTGTTCACTGGACGCTGGGGACTGGGGCTGGCCCTGACAGCAATGCTGCCTGGACGTTTCTTCGAGTCGTATCCGTTACTCAAACCTGGGAAGGAGAGAGAGAGAGGGCAACATGATAAGGAAACGAGCCCAAAGAGTCCCAAGGACAACTTGAGAAACTGCACATTTTAAAAGGCAAGTGAGTCGGGGCAGCATTCAGACTTGGAACTCTCAAGCCTCCCTGCAAATGAACTTCTCTTTCTTCCCACCCCACACCCATAGTAAGGACCAGTGAATGAAGTGAGTACTGGATTTGGAAAGATGTGGGTTCAAGTCCCAGCTTGGCCATAAACTCTACAGCCTTGGGCAGGTAACTAGTTCTCAGCCTCATTTTCATTTCTGTTAATGGGAACAATAGTTTACAAACTCACAAGGTGGTTATGAGAATGTAAAGGTCGTTAAGAATTAGAAGCACTAAACAAATTATTCCAAGCAAATATGTGTGCCTGTTCATTCCCCACTCTCCTTCCCTCCTCAAATATTCCTCCACAAATCCATTTTCTAAACCCTGGCATGAGCAATCTGACCATCTTGGAAAAGCCACTTCCTGAAGTGACCAGCAAGATTAAAATGGGAACAGAGTTCATACAGACTTATCCAATTTCCATTTCCATCCCAACGGCTGATTTTGAAGTGTGAGACCATGCTCTCCACCCCCCAATTTCTTACCCAGCTCTTTCTGCACATGTTGGGGAAGGCCCAGAACTGTTGTCCTCCGCTCTCTCCTTCTCTTCTCGCCTTTCATTGAGGATTTGGGGAATGAGTCGTGCGGCCGAAAAGTGGAGCCTGGAAGGCAGGAGGGGAACTGAGTTACAGCCAGTGAGAGTAAAGGGCAGCTTAAGTTAAACCCTACAAGGTTTTTGCTCTATGAAACTGAACAAAGAAACCTGCCTGTGCATGTGCTGTCTCACAACACCTTCTCTTCATGGAAGGAGTTTAGAGCCACGTCCAGAGTGGGAAAAGAACTTTGGCCCATGTCCAAAGGCAGGGACATCCCTGGAGCTCAAATCTACATTCTGGCTCTTTCTCCGAGGGACTGCTCCTAAGTTCTGCAATGTGCTATCATTTCAGTATTCCAGCTGGAAGCAAAAGGCCCATCCCCACCCCGTACCATCACAGTTCTCGTGGGTGAGTAGAGAGTACCACACCTCCAATCCCTGTCTTCCAGGCCTCCTGTTTATGGCAGTACCTTTCCGTTGAATCATCTCCGAACGGATGGAGAGCGCATCCTCTGAGTTCTCTGTTGTGCACGATGGAGTCTTGCTTCGGATCGAGAGGTCATCCCCCTCTGTGGACGAACAGGAAGACTGTGTCGTGTCCAAAGGGAAGGAAGAAAATGGAGAATGTGATTCCACCCAAGGTCCTAAAAAAAAACAACCCTTCCAGACCCTGCTGATATTTGAAAACTTCCGCAGCAGACTGAAGGCAACTGAAAGTTGTCAAATGCACAACCTAGCAGGAACCCTCCCAGTGGAAAAATGAGCCGTGCCCTGCTTACCCTAAGGACTCTGCCTGCTAGACCTCCCTTCTCCAGGAAACAAACTGGAGACAGGTGCAGAAAGAAATACCCAGTCGGACCACTAGATGGTGCTGCCTGTCAATGGCACTTTGATTGCTCAACCCTTACAAAAACAGCACCCCTTTTTGCCTCCTTTCCAAAAGTTTAATATGAGATCAGAAAGACATGTGTGTAACCAATGGGGTGGGGAAGGTCCTATTAGAGGTAAAATTAGTTTCATAAATGTGTAAAAATATTCCTTGGGGATCGATCCAGTAATGGGCATGCTCTCATACCCAGAAGCCTGAGAAAGACAGTAGGTAATAATGATCAGAAAGCACTTTGCACATGCCCAGAGACCCCTTCCTTCCTAACTGGAGCAACCTCATCCACATGCTTATTGATATTCAAAGAACGTGAAAAGGCTGACAAGGCAATGAAATGGCTAATGCCAGCAATTCTGTGCCACAATTCCTTCCAGAATCCAGCTCCTCAAGAATTTCTACTTTCATTATTGTAAAAACAAACAGCAAAGCTTCTAGCCCTCATGAAGATACATGTCAAACATATCTAGCAAAATTTCAGAATGTCAGAAGGGTTGCTGGCTAAGATACTTGGGGGGGACAAGAGGAAGAGCTTCAGTGCCCTGTAGAACCCCCCCCCCCCGTGCCTTCATCACAAAGAACAGAATTGTACAAAACAGTGCAAGTTGCAGAAAGTAACTCTGCCCACTTTTCAGTAGAGCTTGCAGAATTCTGCTTTTCTTGGCTTAGAATTTAGGTTCTCTAAATGCAGAATCATATCAGCAGAGTCTGAGGGTTACTCTTCCCAAGGCAACAACCGATGTAGGGGGCTTTGGAACTCCAGACTTATTTGCACAAGCAAAGATATTTTTAAGAGACTTCCCAGTTATCCAGGGATACTTTTAAAACTGACAATTAAAGCTGTAGTTGACTGATAAATTAAATATTGCAGTTTTACTTGCAATTAACAGGTAACACTCCCAGACTCAGGATACCCAAAGGGTCAAGTCTGGAAGGCTCTGAGATCTCTGCTGGGGTTGGATGCTCTCCCTGTAGCCCTGCCCGCTCTGCTGCCTGAAGACCAAAAGATTTCCCCAAGTAAAAATTAAATGGATGCAATGCATTTGCTTAAGCAAACACACCTGAGATACAGAAAGGGCCAGCCAGCGAGAGAACAACCCCAGCACAGGAGAAGGGAAAGGATAGTTTGCAATGAAGCAAAGGGAGAAGGTACAGCTGGTTCCAGCCCAAGGTACACATAACAAGGGACTCCAGCCCATGAAGAGGAGGGCGACATTTAGATACAGATAAATCTCTATTTGCCAAGCTGTTTCCGCAGGCAGACAGGCTGGGGACACACACACACACACACACACACACACACACACACACACACACACCTCCCTTTCAGGATCCCTGAGTAGCTGGACATTCTCAGGCAACTGCAAGATGGCCAAAGATCACGCCCAGATTGTCACCTTCAACAGTGCCAAACTTGGATATCTCTGCCACCACCACTCCCCTGGCAGGGAGCACTCTCACCCTGGCACACAGATTCCACCAAAGTAGCAAAAAAATAGCCCACAGCCAATGTTCCCTCTAAGCTGTGGAGTCTTGTGAGCAAAAATTCTACTTTGTGAGCTATCGACATGAAATTTGTGAGTGAGCGATTTGGCTCCTGCATAGATTAGTTTGCTCTGGAGCCCTCCTTCCTGAGCGGAGACAAAAATGTGTGAGCTGGAGGCTCAAAACCTGTGATCTAGCTCAAACTAACTCAGCTTAGAGGGAACACTGCCCACAGCCTGCCTGGCCAGCTGGCTGAGTCAAGGGGAGGCAGGCTCTGTGGTGAAGCTGCCGCCAGTGGGCCCAACAGAGGCCACATCACCCCAGTGGGACATCTGTGTGAGGATGCCCCAAGGAAAGCCGCTTACCTGGATGCTGTTAGCGTCGCTCTGATCCCAGGCCCGTTTGGTCTGCTTGTGTTTCTCTAAAAGGCAAGAGGAGGGATGTCAGCCACCCAGGGAATGATGGGATCCATCCTGATCCCCAATGACCAAAACAGGGTGGAGCCTGGAGGTCTCCCAGAATTACAGCTGATCTCCAGACCACAGAGATCAGTTCCCCTGGAGGAAATGGAAGCTTTGGAGGGTGGACTGTATGGCATGGTATCCCACCGAAGTCCCTCCCCTCCCCAAACCCTGCCCTCTCTAGGCTCCACCCACCCTAGGCTGAAATGACGGGGGAAGGGGGGACAGCAGGGAGGGGCAACACGGGGAGGGATGCTACTCCCCATTGCTTCTCTTTCCTGTAGCCCTGGGAGAACAGGGTCCCAAACACCCTTCTGGCACCTGCGTGTGACCGAGGCCCCCGGCAAAGGACTGAGGAGACTGAGAGGGGCCAGCTCTGTGTCCTTCCAAGCCGGAAGTCCCACATGCACACTGGACTCTGCTCCGCTCCTACAAGCTCCCCACCCCAACGCCACTGCAAACACACACTTGGCCAATGCCATTTTATCTCTGGTGTGGGTGGAGGGGGAAAAGGGCTGTCCAAAAATTCCATGCATGGGAGCAAAGCAACTCCCCACTTCTGCTGCCACCCCACAAAGGGGGCCAATCAATGTGCAAGCTTTCAGGCTGCACAGAACTTTTCTTCAAACTAAGGAGAGGAAGAGACTTTTCCTGCATCTCCCCCCCCCCCATTATTTTTAGAAGTACAAGTCTGAGGAAGAGTTACGTGCCGCTCTGAAGCTCCCCTATTGCATTGTGAACCAGGTCTTCTGCTAACCGTCCTTGTGAATCTTGTCCCAGCCACCGTAACATGGCTACGTGCCATAATTCCACAATGGGGTTCGGCCACCTGCGTGGGTGGGCAGAGGCTCCCGACCACGGGACCAACCCGTTCACAAGGCTGTTCCACAGGTGCCAGGCACTGTCTACTGGGCTGTGGCCCAGGGAGCAAACAGCAGGGGAGCTGCAATGCTGGTTGCACAGGTAGGGACAGCAGCACGGCGGATCTCAATAAGGGGCTCAGAACTAGAACCTCCCCTCCCCTCCCCTCCCCACCCTGGCCCAGCTCAACTCAGTGGTCGGTACCTTGGTTCTGCAGAGACTTGAGTCCAGCCTGGGCCTGGAAATGCAGCTCCTCCAGGTGTGGGGGGCGGTTGCAGGGGAAGAAGACATTGTCGGGCTTCACCTCGCCTGCCTTGTACTGGACACTCAGTCGCTTGTCATTATCAGACTTGGCAGCACCTGCGAGTAGAAAACGTGGGGCTGAGCCTTGTACCTCACTCACACTGTCGACAGCTTCAGTCCCCAATGCAGCCACAAGAGGACCATCCAGTACCTGCTTTGCTGAGACTCCGGCAGGATTCATTAATGCCCTCTCCCCCATCTTCAGTTTCATCCCAGGGTCTTCAACCCACCCCTGCCCTCTGCCCCTGTACAGAACTACTGGTACGGCACCCTGTCCATGGGCCAGCGGCAAGCCATTCTCTGTGGAACTTGGGTGTCCCTCTGTAGAACAGGACAAGTAGTAACTGCCCGAGGCCAATGAACAAAGTCCAGATGCAACATCTTCTAGGCTCCTGATTAACTTCCCAGACAGAGTTGCTGGGACTCTCTTGGGTTTAGTGCAGTCATGACAGCGGCACTCGGTTGCTTTAGGAACCCCCTCCCTAAGAGAATGATGCATGTTAGCTGCATGTCCCCTGGCCCAGGACAGCCTCGCATGTGTGTTTGGTGTCTACACAGCCCCTGGCCCCCAAAGGTCCTGGATTTAAAGTACTTACATTCACTGTGCGCCTAAACACACAACACAGCTGCCTTACACTGAATTAGGGAATAGCAATCTGTGTGGAAAAGATGCTAACACTAGTTCAGTAATGACCAGAGTATTAGTACAAATTAATACAAATGCCTTGAGCTTTTCCTGAGATGTGTTGCCGATAACTGCCCATTTATGAGATGTGTTTGATGTAACTCATAAGAGTGCACATAACCTATTTGAAGATATACTGTTTATCAGTTACTGAGGAAGTTCTTCGAAACAGAGTTCTTAATATCCGGATTCTTAGTTTATATTATTCTTCATGCATCTTCACCTCAGGAGGAAATGTTTCTACTTTAATATTGTGATTCTATGGTTGTACCTGTATTAATACTTTGGTCATTACTGAACAAGTGTTAGCGTCTTTTTCACACGGATTGCTATTCCCTTGTATACCTACACTGTGTGTTCCTCTCTGGTTGCTGTTACACTGAATCAGACCATTGCTCCATCAAGGTCAGACTTGTCTGCTCAGACTGGCAGCAGCTCTCCAAGGCTGAGACCTTTCCCATCACCTACTGCCCAGTCCTTTTTTAACTGGAGATGCTGGGGACTGAACCTGGGACCTTCTGCATACCAAGCAGGCACTCTACCACTGGGCCACAGACCCTCTCATCTCTACTCTGCAGTAAATGGCTCCCAAATGGTTCCCCGAAGTGAATTACGCAGCTAAGCTTTTAATGTCTTCCCTGAAGTTTATATGTTGGCTTTGGCAGCAGAAAAGCAGGATGTTCCTTTTCCAAAATAAATAAACCAACGTACACATACAGAGGAGCTCTTGGGACTCAGCTGGGCTTGAACTATGACAGCCCTCTGGATCCCCTTACAGTCCGTCCGCACAGGTGAGAGCTGACACCAAACCAGCGTTGCCCCCTCCCTTCCCCACCCTATCTGTCCACGGCCTGCGCCTTTAAAACAAGGGAACTGAATCCACAGAAGCACCCCAGGGCAGGATCACATGACTGATGTCAGAAGTATCTGAGCACCTTGCTGGCACGCAAAGCCTGCCAGGCTATCCAGCTTAAAGAGGCAGCACTTGGCATATTTCTCCACCCAAGGGGAAGGGATACTGAGGCCCAATCTGCATCTAGCATTTGCTCCACTGTTCTGCCAAACCCACGCTGGAACAGAAATTCCCCTCTACATTGCATGCCACTTTCACTTTGATTGATTCTCGGATTTTATGGCAGTGTCCAGACAGCATGCCGCTTTCACTTCATTTGATCTCTCGGTTTTATGGCCATTCAGGGGTGACTCTGCAGTCAGTACGGCATTGGCCCGGGGTATCTGAATGTGCTTTTGAGAGGTATCTTTTTCTGTTCCAGTGTGGGTTTGGTAAAACAGCAGAGCAAATACTAGATGCAGATTGGGCCAAAGAAGGGAAGAGACTGAACGGTACATTGGACCTACCTGAAGGTTCTTTCTCTTCAGTGGGGGAGAAGTCATCCAGGAACTGGTTAGGTCACGCCTCTGCTCACTCGGATAGGCTATGCAAATTTCTTTATTGCGTGGCTCCTATTGGAGGGACCTGGGCTGACCTCTCCAGTTATGTCCAAGCCCTGTGTTCTCTCTAAGCTGAGTTAGTGTGAGCTAGCTCACAGTTTTTTAGCCTCCGGCTCACACATTTTTGCCTTCACTCAGGAAGGATGGCTCCAGAGCAAGCTAATTCATGCAGTAGCCAAATCACCTGCTCACAACTTTAACACCAGTAGCTCAGAAAGTAGAATTTTTGCTCACAGGACTCCACAGTTTAGAGGGAACATTGGTCCAAGCCCTGTGCTGTTTTCGTTTTAGTTCTTGTGCTCCTTCTTTCTTTCTGCATTTATTGTGGAGCGATCCCACCATGTTGTATGTGCCACCCTTGTGTTGTACGTGCCACCCTTGTCTTGAATTGAGTTAGTAGTTCTCCGTCCTAGGGTGCGATGTGGATGACTTCTCCCCCACTGAAGAGAAAGAACCTTCAGGCAGGTCCAATGTACTTCCCCCCCTCCTTCAGTGGGGGGGAAGTCATCCAGGAACTGGTTAGCAGTACCCAAGCTGCTCTTCTAGGGTGGGTGACTCATCTCTCTCAAACTTGTTGTAATACTGGTATGCTGAAGGCTACATCGACACCGCCTGACCCCTCCTGTAATGCCTCACCATGTGGACAAGGAGGCCCAGGTACCTGCTCTGCAGAATCCATCCACTGTTGCTCGCTTGGAGAATGCTCCTGTGGAGTGCGCAGTCACCTGACCTGGTGGTGCCCGTCTTTGCCCCTTCATAGGCTTTGGCCATACCTGTCCAATCCAGTACACCACTATGGTCTACGGGGCCCTCTTCGTGATACAAACAGCGGGTCTGACCTGTGAAAGGGAGGTATATATAGAGATCTCCTCCGTACGCCCCACTGTGCCAGGTTTGTACTGTAGGGTGCTCCAGATTGGAGCAGAAGGAAAGTAATACGATCAGCTTTAGTCAATGCGCGCAGCACCCTGGAGAAGGCTCCGTGTCAGGGACCTTTGTCTCCATGTCGGGAACCTGTGTCTGACAGGAGGTGCCAAAGGTTGTACTCCATTGGCGGAGGCCCGTTTTGAAATGTCTTTCATGGGTGACTGAAGGGGCGCTCTTGTTGATGTCCCCCTTGTCTGAGACCTAATAACCCTATGTTCTTGGAAAACCTAGAGTCTGTGATCATCTGTGATCAATTTCTGTGCAGTCAACTGCTGGTTCTAGGTGTAGGATGGGCCCTAGGTGTGGCTGATTTGTTCTCAGAGGTAGCTTCCCGGAGTACCGGCTCCAAGAACCTATGGTCCTTCTGGCTGGTGGGTGATCGCAAACGCCACTTCTGCCCTGTCCCTTGTGATCTTGTTGAACGTCCTTCTTAATGGAGCTGTGGGAAGGAAGGCGTACCGGCAGGCTTCTGGCCCCGCTGCTGGGTCCTGGCATCCAGATAGGAACCTCTTGACCTGATGGTTCATTAGGCTCACTAATAGGTCCCACACAGGTGTCCTGAAAACTTGTGTGATCTGGGTACAGACTTCCTGGCTCCAGACTCCTTCTCCTTGATTCAGGTCCTTACTGCTCAGCCTGTTTTGCAAGGGCAGTCGATGTTGTGGGCCACCTTGTTGCTGAGAAATGAAGCTGATGGTCTTGGCCCAAGTTTGATGGTCTTGCCCACCATTCAAACTCCCTCATGAGTCCTGCCCCCAGGATCGTGCCTATGATTGATTTTAGAGACCCTGCAGGACTGACAGGTGCATCTGGACCGCCGTTATCTTGGACCTGACTCTCCGCACACCCTCCCATATGGGGTTAGCTTTATTTCCTCTAGCAGAGAGACGGCGGCCTTCTTTTTGTTCAGGCGTCCCCCCCCCCAGGTGCGCAAGATCCTGTGTAGGGATGAAAGGCTCTGTTGACGAGGGGCCTGCGCGTGCACGGGACGCTGCTACCAGAGTATCCCTGATTTTGGTAAAGCCTCTGGGTGCTGAGGAGGGGGCCCAAGGAAAGCCTTGTACTGTAAATGCTGGAGTCTGGGTTCAGCAAGATATGCAAATAAGCCTTCCTGAGGCCAGGGAGGCCAGGAAGTTCCCCTTGCTTTTCTTTCCTGTCTTTCTTTCTCTCTTTCTCTTTCTCTCTTTTTTTTTTTGCAACCTCACAAGTTCAGTAGGGCCCTCCAGTCCCCTGACTGCTTTAGAATGATGAAGATAACTGTGCTCCCTCTTCTGAAGTGCTGTTCCTTGGGGACCTTCTCTATGGCACCTATGCCCTTCAAGTGCCAACTTGGTTTTGCAGAAAAGTTGTCTTGTCTTTAGTCTTGGGGCTGACAAAGGCCCACTGGTGTCTTGTGGAGTACGCTCCCGACCCTTGTGAAGGCCCAGAGCTGGCCGCCACTTTTGTTTTCGGTCGTGGCTGCCCTATGCAATCCTGAAGGATGAGGCTTGTTAGGCACTGGGTCTCACGCCGTGCTTGAAGGGTCTCCCTTCTCTTCCTCTACCTGAGGTGAGAAACCCATGAATGGAATCGCATGCCTGTGGTGTCTCCACCTGCGGCAGGAAGGTGATGGTATCGCCCTCTTCACCTTCGTCTCAGCTAACACCTCGTCGATTTTGAGTCCCGAAGAGAAGCCTGAGGACTACTCTGTAGTTAAGTTACTCCTTGACAGTGTGATAAAGGTTTCCTTGCTTGGAAGCCGGATGGACCCGACTCTAGGATTGTGGAGCTCCTCTTCGATCCCAAGCCGAAGAGGTAGCACTGTCCGAAGACGTTTCCATTGTCCTCTGGCTGGTATGACTGCACTCTGAAGCGCACGGGATGCTGTTACCTTGCCACTGAAGTGGCACCTATTCATCTACTTGCAACCCCTTGCTTTCGCACTGCTACGTTGGCAGTAGCTGGGACCAGGGATGGGAGCACACGTTTCTTGAGCTGCCATCTACTGACCTAC